GGTCAGCAGTACATGACCTACCAGTTTCTTATAGAGGTATTCCATTTACGGACTATTTTGCTGCAATATCTTCCCACCTTCACACCCGTTGGCAACAACGTTGGTCTACTATGCTCGGCAACAAACTTCAGTCTATTAAACCGAGTATAGGTCACTGGCCGTCTTCTTACCACCAATGTCGAGGTTGGGAGACTACTCTCTCCCGTCTTCGCATTGGCCATACTCGTCTTACTCATGGATATCTCATGGAGAGGCGTCTTGCTCCTCTCTGTGAGAATTGCCAAGTTCCATTATCAGTCAGCCACATTCTGTTGGACTGCCCACTTTATCAACGAGCACGCAGAATTTACCTCTGTCGTCGTCTTCGCTCCGCTGCTCTCTCTTTACCTTCCCTTCTCGCTGATGGACCCACCTTTCATCCGGACTCTCTCATTGACATTTTGACAACGACTGACTTACTTCACAAATTCTGATACCTTCAGCCCTTTCTACTTCAATCTCTTGCTACCTTCTACCCCCGTACTATCCCCTGCCCCGCTGTTTTCTGTAACCTGCTGATCATCCCCCCTCCCTTCTGCCATCCAATTCCCTTGCTTCCTTCCCTACCCTGCAGCGCTGTATAGCCCTTGTGGCTTAGCGCTTCTTTTTGATTATAATAATAATAATATGCTCTCATGAAGTTAGCGACCTCAACGATATTTATGAATTGGTGATTTTGCCCAATTTCAGCCCTATTTTCAACTAATTCCATTGTTCCAGTCGACCAAACTCATAGCTATTTCTTTAGAACTCCGTTTGTCCTATCGATTGAGTACAAGAAACTGCCCGTTTACCAATTTCAACTACCCAATAACATGGTCAGAAATTTGCAATTTGGCCAATTTCCAGAAAATTTAAAAAATACACCAATTTCAAAATAAGGTCCAGAATGAACAATGCAGACATTCCTGGCTCTAAAATAACATTTTCTTTGTTCATCAGTCATGTCTCCAGACCCCTCTGATATTACTCTGCTTTCTATTTTGGATTTTTTTCAAAAAAAAGATAGATTTACTGTTATACAGACTACTGCAATATTGTAATAATTGTATAAATAATGTCAACCCATTCATGACTGCATATTAGAATGGCTAGTTGGACATTTATTGGACAATGACATCATTTGTTTACTTTTGAACATCGGCAAAAATCAAACATTTCCCTTAGTTTGAGCTCCATTTCAAGGTTCTTTTCATAGTAGAACCAATCAAAATCACCTCGATTTCTATAATATGTTTTCCATTCTATCAAATGAGACCAAGAAAATGAGAATACAACCGTAAATTCTATACGAAAATAGACCACAAAGTTGGCATTTTAATCCAAAAACACGGTCGGAGTTTTTTTCTCATTATGCACTGCGTGCTGCAGGATTTCTTTTATATGGTGTACATTGACCACACAGACCCATTCTCTCACATGTGGTCCTACCACCTTTCTCCTGCTTGAGTTGAAGCCGCTAGAATTTTTGAGTATATATACGTCTGACACGGTGGCTCGTAAGACGTTTATATACGACCGAACAGTCAAAGGGTTAATGGCCCGCTTATACAGCAGGTTAGGTTCAGGGCTACTGTAGGGCCCTGCTTACGTAGCAGGTTAGGCTCCAGACTACTGTAAGGCCCTGCTTATACAGCAGGTTAGGTTCGAGGCTACTGTAGGGCCCTGCTTATACAGCAGGTTAGGTTCGAGGCTACTGTAAGGCCCTGCTTATACAGCAGGTTAGGTTCGAGGCTACTGTAGGGCCCTGCTTATACAGCAGGTTAGGTTCGAGGCTACTGTAGGGCCCTGCTTACGTAGCAGGTTAGGCTCCAGACTACTGTAAGGCCCTGCTTATACAGCAGGTTAGGTTCGAGGCTACTGTAGGGCCTCACTTATACAGCAGGTTAGGTACTGGACTACTGCTGTAAAGTGAAACATAGCATTTTTTTTACTTTCAAATGCATATAAAAGCCTGATAACATGTTTACTCTATATTAAGTGAGCAATAGATCAAGGCTTAAAAAATGCATAAACAGTACACACATTACTTACCTAACAATATTTTTGTCCTTAGCCTTTAGTGTGTGGTGAATATATTTATTGTAGAAAGTCTGAATAAATGAAGAATGACAATTGCAAATCGCTGCATTGGCGAAGCGATGTAAAGCAGAGCGCTGTAAAGCAAAGCCCGAATGTATTTCCTTCGACTCACTCCACAAGCACATCAAATCACAACAACCACTTGTCTCCACTCTAATCAAATGGTCTCACACAAGTTTTTTTTTTTTTTTTTAACAATGCCTAATTTGTTCGACAAGATATTGCGTCCATGAAAATTATGTAAATACTTCTTTTATTTTTAAATTTATTCTCACTCATGGCAGAGAACCTGCAGACAGATAAGCACTCGAAATTCACTATAGTTCAGAATTTTCGTCTTGTATTGTTTTATGGTTGAAACAATTTCTTGAGTGGAAAGTACAGTGCCTGCAGTCTGAAGGATGTGAGGTAGTGGGAAGTACAGTGCCTGCACTCTGAAGGATGTGAGGTAGTGGGAAGTACAGTGCCTGCACTCTGAAGGAAGTGAGGTAGTGGGAAGTACAGTGCCTGCACTCTGAAGGATGTGAGGTAGTGGGAAGTACAGTGCCTGCACTCTGAAGGATGTGAGGTAGTGGGAAGTACAGTGCCTGCGCTCTGAAGGATGTGAGGTAGTGGGAAGTACAGTGCCTGCACTCTGAAGGATGTGAGGTAGTGGGAAGTACAGTGCCTGCACTCTGAAGGATGTGAGGTAGTGGGAAGTACAGTGCCTGCACTTTGAAGGATGTGAGGTGGTGGGAAGTACAGTACCTGCACTCTGAAGGATGTGAGGTGGTGGGAAGTGCAGTACCTGCACTCTGAAAGATGTGAGGTGGTGGGAAGTACATTACCTGGACTCTGAAGGATGTGAGGTGGTGGGAAGTACAGTACCTGCACTCTGAAGGATGTGAGGTGGTGGGAAGTGCAGTACCTGCACTCTGAAGGATGTGAGGTGGTGGGAAGTACATTACCTGGACTCTGAAGGATGTGAGGTGGTGGGAAGTACATTACCTGCACTCTGAAGGATGTGAGGTGGTGGGAAGTACATTACCTGGACTCTGAAGGATGTGAGGTGGTGGGAAGTACATTACCTGGACTCTGAAGGATGTGAGGTAGTGGGAAGTACAGTGCCTGCACTCTGAAGGATGTGAGGTAGTGGGAAGTACAGTGCCTGCACTTTGAAGGATGTGAGGTGGTGGGAAGTACAGTACCTGCACTCTGAAGGATGTGAGGTGGTGGGAAGTGCAGTACCTGCACTCTGAAGGATGTGAGGTGGTGGGAAGTACATTACCTGGACTCTGAAGGATGTGAGGTGGTGGGAAGTACATTACCTGCACTCTGAAGGGATGGGGGAGCTGTACAGTTCGTGCACTCTTAAGAGAGGTGAGGGTGTTACAGTACAGAGTCACCTGAACTACGATACCACCTTGCTTCTAGCAAGACAGAGATGAATGAAGAATGATTTATGTGTTTACTCTTTTTTGATTGGTAGACAGCCAGTGTGTTGAAAAATCGAAACCATATTTGGTTATGTTGTGCTGATACATTTGGGTTTTCATTTGACTTTAAGTGAGGTGATAGAGAAGTGTCACGGGGTATAACGCATGCTCGAACTGTCGTCAATCAGCGGGAGCTGGCATGCGAGTTTTTTCATATAGTCGACTCTTTTGTAAAACTGCTCTATATAGTGTGATTTGTTTTTGTAAATGCAATTGAAGACTTGTTCAAAATTGAATATCACTTGAAAAGGCCCTCAGAGAATATACTGTTCAATTTCTGATGCACTTCTCCAGTTGTATATACAGAAAATTGCAGTACAGCCTCTCCTCACTTAGCGACATACTCGTTTACTGCCAAATTGGACTTACACCGTGCTCTCTGACCAGTATGCATACCTAAATAATGTATATTACAGCTGATTTCCTCTGTTCTGTTTATTACAATATTCAGTACACTACTGTATAAACATTTCAACATAAACTTGTTATAAATGGTGCAAAGGTGACATTAAAACAATATCAAAGATGGTTGACACAAACCCATTACCATTATAGTATGCTCCTCACTTAGTGACGTGGTCTTAGGAACGGAACTCTGTCATTAAGTGAGGAGAGACTGTATATAGAACAACTTTATGTAGCTATTATAAAGCTCCTTTATTTACCAGAATTTTTATAGATGTGATTGTGAAAGTGCGCTGAAAACTGAATACCACTTAGTATGAAGGCCTTTCCATACACTATTCAATTTTGAATATTCTTTTCCAACTGCATTTGCAAAATAATTGCACAATGATAATTAGATTTTTAAGAGAGCTGATTGTATAAAAAATGCACGAGTACTTTTTAGTGAGCACTTGTTTGACCAGTGGTCACTTCTTTGTCAACTTCTGCTCTACAGTTGTGGGACTCTGGCAGAGCCTCTTCCAATCATTGTAATGTTTGCAAATAAAAAATTCTTTAAAGGGTTTGCAGGAAGTTCAGTTAATTACATAGCTTGACAATTCCTGAAGTCCCCCAAGTTACAAACATCCACAAGTTAAATGTGACCTTCAGGAAGGAATTAACGCCTTACAGGCACTGAACTACAGTATAAACATGAAAAAAGTCACAATACCGTGACTGAAACAACACACAAATAACCCACACATAGGAGAGAGGAGCTTAAGACAACGTTTGGTCATAAGCTCCTCTCTCCTATGTGCAACTTGGTATTATTGTCTGTACGAACAACTTGTTTGTAAGTTGGAACTTCAGGAACACTTTGTAAGTTTGGAACCTCGTGTAGTGACTAGGGAGTGTGTAACAACTACAAGGTATGAGCTATCCACCGTGGTGTGGATTGGCAGTACACACGGTGTACCACGACCTGTAGCTATGCTGATGCATGATTGTATGTTGCAGACATGATGATGCTTCTTCCCCCACAAGCATGCGAGGCGACAGGTGAGTTGCATCACATGTTCATTGTCCTAAGATCTCTTTCTCACTCTTCTCTCTCTCTCTACCTCTGTCTCTCTTCGGGCCACTAGCAGCAACGACCCGGTTGATCAGCCAGTCAACTTTCACTTGTATGGTGGATGAATATCACATAGAAAAAGGTGTACTTTAGCAGTTTGGTGCATGCAGGGACGGTGCTCAGGATATGGTAAATATTTATTGTATATATGGTTGGTAGCAGGTTGACTGACAGCAACCATCCAGGGAGGCACTACCATCCTCATCGTAAGTGTTAAACAGAAGCCTGGTAAACATTTTGCTCTCTTTTGCTATTGCTCATCTTTTCATGTCAAATTATAGGTAAATCTTGCAAACTTTTCATTTTTTTATATTTTCTCAACAAACTGGCCATATCCCACTGACGCAGTGACCAAAAATAGCAATGAAAGTTTCTCTTTCTAAGTTTAGTAATTTATACAGGAGAAGGGGTTACTAACCCCTTACTTGTGGCATTTTAGTTGCCTCTTATGACACACATGGCTTGCAGAGGAAGAATTCTGTTCCACTTCCCCATGGAGAAAACTTTTCCTTATATTCATTGTATATTTCAATTTACTTCCCATGGTCTCTAGTTTTTATTCCTGTAAAGCTTCTTTTTCAGTTTGAGGAGCCTGACATGAAACTAGGTCATAGGGGCGACGATGGCCAGTATCATTAACTCTTCAACTGTCCGAACGTAGATCTACGTTTACTCGCATAGCGCTCCAAACATAGATCTACGTTTTCTTTTACATTTGAAAGCATGTAAAATAAAACATAAATCTGTGTTTGGAGCGCTAGCGGTACAAACGTAGATCTACGTTTGCACAGTTTAAGGGTTAACAGATTTTAGTCAGGTTAATCCTTTCAGGGTTGGTGCCGTACTAGTATGCATAAATTCTAGCACCTTCAAATCTAGCGAGAGAAAGCTGGTAGGCCTACATATGAAAGAATGGGTCTATGTGGTCAGTGTGCGCAGTATAAAAAAAAATCCTGCAGCACACAGTGCATAATGAGAAAAAAAAAAACTGTGTTTTTGGTTTAAAACAGCGACTTTGCAGTGTATTTTCGTATGCTATTTATGGTTGTATTCTAGTTTTCCTGGTCTCATTTTATAGAATGGAAGACATATTATGGAAATTGAGATGATATTGATTGGTTTCACAATGAAAAATAACTTGAAATTGAGCTCAAAGTATCAGAAATGTTCGATTTTTGCCAAAGTTCAAAGGTAAACAAATCATGCCACGTGTCCAATACATGTCAACTGGTGAGTGTAATATTCTTTCACAAGTGCACTGATATTATTTATACCATTTCTATGCCACTTCTACATGATTGCAGTAGTCTGCATAATATAAATCTTCTATTTTTTGTGAGAATAAAAATTCAAAGTGGAAAGCAAAAGAAATGTAACAGAGGCCTGGGGACATGAGTAATGAACAGAGGAAATGTTATTTTAGTGTCAGAAATGTCTGTCTTGTTTATTTTGGACCCTATTTGGAAATTGGCATCTTTTGAAATTTGTGTGAAATTGGCAAAATTGCCAATTTCTGACCACTTTATTGGATAGTGGAAATCGGTAAATGGGTGATTTCTTGTACTCATTCGATAGAAAAAATGTAGTTCTAGCGAAATAGGTATGATTTTTGTCGTCTGGTACATTGGAATTGGCTGAAAATAGGGCTCAAAGTGGGCGAAATCGCCGATGTGTAAACATCGTCGAGACCGCTAACTTCGCGAGAGCATAACTTCAGAAGTTTTTCATCAGATTTCATACTTTTGGTGTCATTATGATAGGGAAAAGATTCTCTGTCATTTCATAAGAAAAAAATAATTTTTTTTTCTCGAAAAATTTCCAACCCTGAAAACAAGTTTAGGAGAGGCCCTCCCAACCCTGAAAGGGTTAAAACAGATTACAAAAGAGTGATGATCATAGGGTAATTTGAATTATGATGTCCTTGCACTTCTATTGTAAAAGCTATCAAATGAACAATGGTGGATGTGTTTCCTTCTTTCGCTTACTTTACCTGGGTAGGAAACAGCTGATGTGATAATTAACAAAATACGTACTTTATATTACTTAACTCTTGCATGAGATGTATAGGATGACTTTTATCAGTGGGAAGGAGCATTGCCAGGAAAACATGGTGATAGTAACACTTATGTAAAAAGAGCTTTTTTTTTGTCGGATAGTTGAAAAAGAAGTTTTTGGGTCACCCTGCCTAGGTGGGAAATGGCCAGTGTGTTAACCCTCAAACTGTCCAAATGTAGATCTACGTTTGGACAGTTTAAGGGTTAAATAAATAAATTTATAATAGACAACCCACGCACAGGTGACGGAAACTTGTGAAGATACTTCAGTCCGACTTGAACCGTTAACTAGTCACACAGAAGCATGAAGGGGAGGGGGAGTTGTTATTCTTGAGTGCCTATTCCTTAACCCTTTCAGGGTCCCCAGCCCCTCTCTGAGAATTGTTCTCAGGGTCCCCAAATTTAAAAAAAAAAATATTTTTTCTTATGAAAAGACAGAGAATCTTTTCCTGATCATGATGACACCAAAAGTATGAAATTTGATGGAAAACTTACGGAATTATGCTCTTGTGAAGTTGGTCTCGACGATGTTTATGCATCGGCGATTTTGCCAAATTTGAGCCCTATTTTCGGCCAATTCCAGTGTACTAGTCAACAAAAACCATAACTATTTCGCTAGAACTCCATTTTTTATATCGATTAAGTACAAGAAACCAACCATTTACCGATTTCAACTATCTAATAAAGGGGTCAGAATTTAGCAATTTTGCCAATTTCACACACATTTCAAAAGATGCCAATTTCCGAATAGGGTCCAGAATAAACAAGAAAGACATTCCTGGCACTAAAATAACAAGTTCTCTGTTCGTTAGTCACATCCCCAGGCCCCTCTTATATTTCTTTGGCTTTCCACTCTGAATTTTTATTCTTACAAAAAAATAGAAGATTTACTGTTATGCAGACTACTGCATTAGTGTAGAAATTATATAAATAATATCAGCGCACTTGTGAAAGAATATTAGACTCACCAGTTGACGTGTATTGGATGCTTAGCATGATTTGTTTACTTTTGAACTTTGGTAAAAATCGAACATTTCTGCTACTTTGAGCTCAATTTCAAGGTACTTTTCATTGTAAAACCAGTCAAAATCATCTCAATTTCTGTAATATGTCTTCCATTCTATAAAATGAGACCAGGAAAACTAGAATTCAACAATAAATACCATATGAAAATACAGTGCAAATTCTCTGTTTTAATCCGAAAACACGGTAAAAGTTTTTTTTCTCATTACACACTGTGTGCTGCAGGATTTTGTTTATACTGCACATACTGACCACATAGACCCATTCTTTCATATGTAGGCCTACCAGCTTTCTCTCACTAGATTTGAGGGCACTAGAATTTAGGCGTACTAGTACATCAAAAACCCTGGGACATAAGCCGTACTAGTACGGCCGAAACCCTGAAAGGGTTAAAGTAATTCACAAAGTTTGCACGTCCAACCATAATTTCAACAATGAAGAAGAAATACCAGTTTATATTAAACTGTAAACAAAATGATCATAATATTTAGAAAAGAGATGTTCATTCAGTCGAGACTTGACAGCACAAACCAATCCCTGATGCTTAAGACTACAACTGTGTATCATGTCCAAATAAAAAATAAGTAAATAAATAAATAAATGGCAGCCTGTTGAACACTGGGAATGTTCAACACAACTCCTGGCTCATATAGGTTCTTTAACACACACACACACACACACCCTCCTGACCTGACATAGGTCAGGTCATGCCTTCTCGTTACTTGCTATCCTTGATTTAGCAGTACTTTCACTACCACTTAAGAAGATTGATCTGCTAGCAGTATGTTTCAGCAAAGTCTTATCGTAAATAGTACCTGGGTGTTAGTGGACTGTTTAGGTGACACCTGGTAGGGTGGAACTTATGGTCAGCCTCCCTATACCACTCCCACTGTAAGTAGATCTTGAGTGTTATTCTGTTGTAGTGACATCTGGTAGGTGGAACTTTATGGGCAAACCTCCCTATACCTACTGCCCCATGTAAAGTAGATCTGAGTGTTAGTGACTGTTGTAGGTGACATCCTGGGTAGGGTGGAACTTTATGGGCAACCTCCCTATACCTACTGCCCCTGTAAGTAGATGCTTGAGTGTTAGTTGACTGTTGTAGGTGACATCCTGGGTAGGGTGGAACTTTATGGGCAAAGCCTCCCTATACCTACTGCCCCCTGTAAGTAGATGCTTGAGTGTTAGTTGACTGTTGTGGGTGGCATCCTGAGGACTGAAATAATGGAAAAAAGCCACATTGCGTGGCTTTCTTGGGTTACCCTGGCTTACAGACCTGGGGTTAAGAGTTAGAAGAAAATCAACTTGCATTGTCACAAATAATCATTAAAAAATATTCTGGAGACCATCTTTGCCTCAGGTAGGCCTACAGACTTTCTCAGACTTGCAAAAAAATGTGAAAATAGAGAATCATTGTGTTAGTCCTGGTCTATGCTTGGCAGGTCTGAAGAATTGTGTATTGCAGCAGTAGTCCTGGCCCATGCTTGGCAGGTCTGAAGAATTGTGTATTGCAGCAGTAGTCCTGGCCCATGCTTGGCAGGTCTGAAGAATTGTGTATTGCAGCAGTAGTCCTGGCCCATGCTTGCGGTCTGAAGCATGTGTATTGCAGCCAGAGCTGCCATGCTTGGCAGGTCTGAAGAATTGTGTATTGCAGCAGTCATCCATGGCCCATGCTTGCATGGTCTATAACAATTGTGTATTGCAGCAGTAGTCCTAGCCCATGCTGCAGGTCTGAAGATTTGTATTGCATGCAGTAGTCCTGGCCCATGCTTGGCAGGTCTGAAGATTGTGTCATGAGAGTATCCTGCCCACTGCCTTGGCAGTCTGAAAATTGTGTATTCAGCAGTATC